GATTAATATTTCATGTCAAATTTGGGAATATCCTCTGCCTATTTGGTACTGAAAAGTATTTGAAATATTTAAAAATTTAGCGTTTTAGAGTCTAACAGATTCATCTTATGATTCCAGTTTCAAATGTGTATTTTATTTATTTACTTTGGTTTTTAAGTTGAAAGGTAGGAGGAATTTTTCAAAGTTTGTAAACAGTGTCATGATTACCAGACTTTAATGTTAGTATTTATATAACTAATTTATTAGCTTTACTAGATTTGTTCAAGTACATGGGAAGGTTTTGTATATTGCAAAACTTAAGTTGCAAAACTTAACAGAAAAAATAATTTATTAAATTTTTACTTATAATTTATTATTTTTAAAAATGAATTTAACTATCTCAGGAAATTTAAGCAACTAAATCATAAGAATCCCTCAAAGCCAATTGCTCAATTCAATAAATGTATAATTAGAATTATGGATTGAATATAAAAGTTTAAAAATTAGTTATTTCAACAAATTATATCATTTGAAAATCTCTATACTGATAAATTGCCCTCCCGGAAACCTAAAAATTGACATTGAAGTACAGTAACTACTACTTCTCTGTTTCCTGCCACTGAACTGTGAATTCATTGAGTGGAAAGCATCCTTGTACTCCCATAATCCAGCACAAGAATGGCCCGAAGGGTAAGTCAACCCCCAGCTGATATTATCTGCTATCTGCCAGGACTGTGATATGTGATTTATCCATATGCTCTTAAGAAACCTTCACCGCAACCTATTTTCACAGTGGAGGGAGGGAATAGCAACAACCCAGCCACCCAGCTGGGAAGAGTCGGAGCCCGGGCAGAACCCAGGCTGACTTCCAGGGCTGCAGCTTCCCTTAACTTTTATGTTACTAGTTGAATGGATGAAAATCTTTAACGCTGGGACCTTGGGCAGTATTATTTGAGCTGAGGAGACAATATGCATGTGTGAGACATGGACATAAATTGTCCCCCGTGGACAAGTGACCAGGACAGAGATAGAGAGATCCAAGTGGGTTTCCTGGGAACAATTTGAGAAAAGTGAAAAGGCTGTCTTCCCTAAGAGACAGAAAATATGAAGTCTGGAGAGAAGGAGATAAGCAATGGAGAGGAAGAAAATAGTTTTGACTTCATTTAGAAGGATCAGGAAAAGTACTGTCTGGTTCATGATTTATTCAATGGAGGCCCAGGGGACATTTCCTTCATGGTCAGTTGACTGTCGCGGCATTTTGATTTGAAGCTGAGGCACGATGCCAGGTAGCCCAGATTAAACAGGATTCCTCAGGAGCCAAGGAAAATGAAAGAGAAAATTTCTGGCACTGGTCTAAGGAAAAAGCACAGGAGGACAAGCCAGGAGGACAGTGCAAAGGAACAGTTATCAGAGGGGTTGGCAGACCAGGAGGTGAAACCCAGCAAAATCACCCATAGAAGTTTGGTTATTGTGCTAATTCGGGGCAAACGAACAGTAATAATTTACCTAACTAAAGTTAGTACCAGAGGTACTAAGGCAGCTTTTTTGCATTCCCAACTTCGAATGTGCGCTCTACTGAGGAGTGTACTGCGGTGGAAGAAAATCCGAGGTCAAGTCAGAAGGCTGAAACATGGTGTGCCCTGGGCCCGTCTGGTAGAAGAGCCAACAGAGAATGTTAGGTGCTTATGTCGCACAACTGGACTCTGCTCAATGGTGTTTCAGATTTTTCAGTTCAACCACTGTCACCTTGCCTAAACTCATCCCTTGACCCCCCAAGATTACAACATACTTTCAAAAATTTCTGTGCATGGATCACAGCAATAGTTCTTTTTTTTTTTTTTATTCTTATGTTAATCCCCATACATTACATCATTAGTTTTAGATGTAGTGTTCCATGATTCATTGTTTGTGCATAACACCCAGTGCTCCATGCAGAATGTGCCCTCCTCAATACCCACCACCAGGCCAACCCATCCTCCCACCCCCCTCCCCTCTAGAACCCTCAGTTTGTTTTTCAGAGTCCATCGTCTCTCATGGTTCATCTCCCCCTCCGATTTCCCCCCCTTCATTCTTCCCCTCCTGCTATCTTCTTCTTCTTTTTTTTTTCTAAACATATATTGCATTATTTGTTTCAGAGGTACAGATCTGAGATTCAACAGTCTTCACAGCAATAGTTCTTAACAGGAGTGGTAAAGCCCCCTAGAGGCATCTGGAAAACCTGTGGGTACCTTTGGTTATCATGATGACTGAGGGGCACCAGGAGCATTTAGTGGGCACAAACCAGGAGTGGTAGGCTTACCACAGTGAGTCAGAACACAACCAATGAGGAGTTGAAACATACTAGAATCTAACTCTATTTTATAGATATAAGGGACATCTGGTATGGGTTTAAAATATGTTGCATTTTAATATATGTTAAGAAAAAAAAAAAGAAGATAGCAGGAGGGGAAGAATGAAGGGGGGAAATTGGAGGGGGAGACAAACCATGAGAGACAATGGACTCTGAAAAACAAATTGAGGGTTCTAGAGGGGAGGGGGTTGGGAGGATGGGTTAGCCTGGTGGTGGGTATTGAGGAGGGCACATTCTGCATGGAGCACTGGGTGTTATGCACAAACAATGAATCATGGAACACTACATCAAAAACCAATGATGTAATGTATGGTGATTAACATAACAATAAAAAATTAAAATAAAAAAATAAAATATGTTGTATTTTGGGTTTTCCTTTTAAGATTTTAGAGAGCAAGTGAGCATGAGCACGGGGTTGGGAGAGGGGAGGCAGAGAGAGAGGGAGAAGCAGGTTCCTCACTGATCAGGGAGCCTGACGTGGGGCTTGATCCCAGGACCCTGAGATCATGACCTGAGCCAAAGGCAGACACTTAACTGACTGAGCCACCCAGGCGTCCCTATGCTGCATTTTCTAAGAATGCAATTACTATAAACCTAGGAAGGATTATGTTTTGTTTTGTTCTGAACTTTACAAGAAGTTAGTTGTTCACTAAATACAGAAGGTGGTATCATGAACAGTGGCGGTGCTCACAGTATTTCAGTGACCAACACAACCCCTCCCCTGCGATGTCAGGCCAGTTTACACCTGTGCCCATTGTGACCGCCCAGCGGAGGCGAGCAAGCAACAACTTCCTCATGCCTTCCATATGGCTGTGCACACATCAGTATACAGGAGTACATGTTGCTTTATTATGTACTACCTTTGTTTCTTGTTTGTATTAATACAACATTGTATTTTGATTGCATGTTATAGAAGTTATGATTTTCTTATCAGGATAATAAAGGATGCATTATAAAATATAAAAGGAGGTGTTGGCCATGACAGGAAAGAAAAACTACCGTGATTGAATCATGGTTTTTAGAGAAAGCAAGCATGTGGCACCATGAGTTATGATACAAATGAAAAACAGCACTGCCGGAACATGCAAATTCTCTGAGAGAAGATGCTGTACATTATAGAATTATGATTTCTTTTCAGATCACACCCACCCACATGTGTGCCTACCGGCTGGCTTGTGACCAACCTGGGTGTCACCCGAAATAAGTTATCTTCGCTGAAGACAAAAAGTAAAGCTGGAATTGGGCTCCTTTCCCTAGAACGTGATTCTCACATCTTACTGTGCAGAATAAACTGCCATGTTTAATAAAAATAAAATCGCTGAGTCTTTTTTCTAGAGATTCTGATTTAGTAGGCTTGGGTGGGCCTCAGCCACCTGAGTAATGGGAATGGCCCCACTCTGATACAGCATTTCTGCACATCGGTGCTTTTCCACTAATGTGCATACACATCTTCCAGGGCCCTTTTCTAAATGCAGGTCCTGATCCAACAGGTAGGGCCTGGCATTCTGCATTTTTTTTTTTTTTTTTTTTTTAAGATTTATTTGAGAGAGAGAGCATGAGCAGGGGGAGGGGGAGAGAAAGAGGGACAAATGGACTCCCCGCTGAGCACAGAGCCCAACTCAGGGCTCAATCCTAGGACCCTGAGATCATGACCTGAGCTGAAATCAAGAGTTGGAGGCCTGACGGAGCCACCCAGGTGCCCCTGGCATTCTGCATTTCCAACAAGCTCCAAGGTGATATGGATGCTGTTGGTCCATGACCATACCTGAATAGCACACTTCTGTCCATTCAGGGACAAAAGATTCTGGAGCATGCAGACAGCGCAGGTAGAGAACTCACCCTCCATATTCATGTTCCTTACTCTGTGAGGACGAGATGGACATTACCAGAACTGAACAGGCTCTCCCTGGACATTCCCACCCTACCGGATCAAGGGGCTGCATTGCAGTGGAATGCAGTGACCAACCTTGGGTCACCTCAAATGGCAGTGTGTCGGCTTCGCCACAAACTACGGGAGTTTTTAATCATACTGCACTGAGGGACTTGCCCACACCATACCAACTGTTCATGTGGATCTTCGTTGTGATGTTAACAGCTTATATAAAATTTCTGATTCCTAAGCAGCGGTATTACTGAAGAGAGGCCGTGGCCCTGCCTCTGCACAGGAGAGAATCCACCCGCAACCACAGATCTGAAATCATCTAGATATTGTCCGGACAGCAGCGGGACAAAGGTCTCGGGGAGTTCGGATCCAAGCAGAGGACTGCGGAATTACTGCAAGTCGTTGGAGAACCCATGTCTACAGACAATGTTTCTACATGTACAAACTAGTTTTTTTGTAGATGTCATTAAGATAAATTTTTTTTAAATATCTTAAGTGTGAATAAGTTCAGGCTAGTTATGGCACACTATGTATTTTCTCAATTAATGGATATTAAAAGACAATCCCATATCACTCGGGGTCATCACAATATTTGGACATTAAAAAGGGGTCCTTGTCTTCCAAAACATACGCCAGACATAGCCTGACATAGGAAAATTCAAATCCTTCAATATTTCAGAGAATAAATGATAAATATGTCATTATTAAATATGTAAAGAAATTATGTTCAAATTCTGAATGACTGAATTTCTCATTATTTAAATGAGGAAAGAAAAAGCTGCAGCCGAATTTAACCTCAGATGGTTTAATAGAGGGATCTTATTCACTATATACAGGATTCTCTAACGACAGTGGGCTGGTCCCAGCCGGGCGACCTGACCAACACGGAAACCCCGGGGCAGCGCAGGGGCCACTAAAAGTTGACCGTCTTGGCCGGCTTCACGTCTTCCATTTCGGACAACAGCCAGCGGTAAGTACGATGGCGCCGCAGCACCTCAATGGCCTTGAGCTCCAGGGGTGTGGCCTGAATTCCAAGGTCTTCCAAGCCAGGCAGGTGGGGCAACAGCATGTCCGTGATGTGAAGCTGTGGACACACAGAACCATGGAGAGCTCTGAGACCTGACCAAGAACACAAAGTGCCATCTCACCGAACCCTGAAACACTCAAGTTGGCCTGAGTCCCATCACTGAGACTTGTCTCCAAAGGACACGTGGCTGCTTTTGATTCCTGCACCTCACTAAAAGTAGACCACAGAAAAAGAGTTTAAGGGAAGGAAAAAGGCAAGGTCACCAAATATCAGTGCAAATAGTTCTACCCACGAACACAGAACACTGGCTCCAGATGAGCCATTCCCCAGACTGAACCAGAATCAATCTGCAATGGAGAAGCACCAGTCACATTGTCAAGGTGGCTTCACAGGAGGTCCAGGAAGAAAATAAAACAGGGGCTAATGCAGAAGCAGCCCATTCCCCAATTCTCCCTTGTGCACGGGCTTCCTGCTTCCATTCACACTGCTGAATTAAGGAGATAACTGGCATTTGTTCCTTGCTCATTAAGAGATAATCCATTAACCTTTATGCTCCTACTATACTTCATCTGGTTGATCGATGCTCACCAAGATCTAAAACACCAAACCCATCTTGTTTGTAGAGGAGAATGAGCTGGAAGACTTCCACAATCCCAGACCATCCACAAGCACACGAAGAGAATCAATACGCATATAGAGCAACTCGCTCCTTCATCCTCCCCACCTGACAAGGTCTGCAATTTTGATCGGAGTGCTGTGAGGCAGCCTCCAAATCCAAAGCCCAATCGGCCTACTGTATCCACACCCACTCCATTATCAGTGTAAGAGACACATTTGCACGTATTCAGACAGTCAGTCCTCCTGTCTGGTTTTTCATGAACGTAGAAGGGATATCTTGAAAACGGTCTCAGCTTTCCAGACACAGCCAGTCAGAGGGGAGGATCAGGCCTGCCCCATTCACATCTGCTCCCCGAGGACTTTCTCATCTTCTCTATGTTTTAACTTTTAGGTAACATTCAGAGGATCATTTGGCTATTCTTGCTGAGAAAAGGTCAATAGGTCTTCAAAGATAGAGACAATACAGAATTTTTATTTTATTTTGTGTTCTTCCTCGAAATACTTTTACCCGCAGTGTGGGAGACCAGCACGGGAGACAGCAAGACAGAAAGAGCCAGAGCTCTGGAACCCAACACACTGTAGAGGGACAAGACAGGCAGGCAGCCCAAGACTGGTCAAGAGAATGAGAAAGGAATAATCGACCTACTTGGATTAGGGTAGGCAGAGTGGACACCTTTCTTTAAGCCAAAAATGCTCAATATTATTGCATACACCTTCAGAATAAAAAGTTGAAAAACAAAACAAAACAAAGGGCCTGGAGAGGCAGGAGTAGTAAGATCTGACATATATTTTGAGGGTTGCCTGAATAATACCTGTTGATGGTCTACGGCTGTGCTGCCTAGTACAGTAGCCACTGGCCAAATCTAATTTTCATTTAAGTTTAATTAAAATTAAATAAACTTAAAATCTTATTTTTGCTGTTGCACTAGCCATATTTCAAATGTTCAACAGTCCTATGTTGCTAGTCGCTACATTTTTTTTTATTATGTTATGTTAATCACATACATTACATCATTTTTTATTATGTTATGTTAATCACATACATTACATCATTAGTCGCTACATTTTGAACACTGTAGATTACAGAACATTTCCGTCACTGCAGAAAGTTATGCTGGACAATACTGGTTTAGTATTAGTAATCAGGGGAGAATTCCTAGGTTTTTGGCTTGAGCAACAGAGAGAACAGTGATCTCATTAACATAAGATGAGAGAGGCCAGGAGAGAAGCAGGTTTGCAGTTCTATTTGTGGAGATGTTAAGTTTCAGGAAACTGTATTAGACCCAAATAGATATAAGAGTCTGCAGCTGGGGAAGGTGGGGGGCGATTCAAGGCTGGAGATAAAAATGCAGCTGTGAGCTCACAGACAGCAGCTGGGGCATGGGACGAGGGGAGGGTCGTTCAGAGAATGAGCAAAGATACAAAAGGGCTGAGGACAGAGCTTGTCAGTCCCCCAACATTTACAGATCAGGGAGAAGAGGGCAAACCAGGAAGGGAAACCAAAAAGCATGGCCGAGTGAGAGGAAGAAAAGCAAGGGAATACAGAGATGGCCAGAAAACAGACTGGCAAGTGAGGGTTCAGGGAAAGAAGGGGTGATCACAGGTAATCTGGAAAAGAGCAGCTTGTGGGGAGAAATGGGAATAAGAGCCTGAACGGAGTGGGTTAGAAAGACTGAGGTAAGCAACGGTTAAAAGCAGGAATAGACAGCTCTTCTGAAGAGTTTGGACTCAAAAGGACCTAGGAACAGGATGGTGGCTAGAAGGGACAAAGGGGAAGGGAGGGTTTCACCTTTAAAAAAACGGAGCCCTGAAGGCATGTTTGTGTGCCAGCAGAAAAGGAAAACAGACCACGTTGGAGAGAAACTAAGGCAGCACCCCCACAGCTGAAGCAGGCTGAGGCGGGGTGAGTTTCAGGGCCCAAGCTGCAGGGCTCGCCTCAGAAGGATAGTGGACAAGAGCATGCAAATAACCCAAGCCAGCAAGCGAACAAAAATCAATTCTAACTTATCCATATCTAGCTCTCTGCCCCGTACCTGGCCAGGCAGATGTTCATCACATACTCACCCGCTCCACTTTATCCCTTGTTGTCCATGGCTCAAATGGACTCATTTCAAAGAGTCGTGCTAGCCATCTGGAAAAAGGCATAAATATAGCGCATGTGATAAGCGTCTCCATACCCAATACTCAAGCTAGCCTGCAAGAAGCATCAGGAGGAAGGCTGCATAGAGGCAGGGGCTCACTGACTGTTTTGTTTTTAAGAAAATAACCAATATCCTGGCACCACTACCTGTGAGGTTACCTTTCCTCTCAAGCTAACCCAGCCTGACTGCCCTCACTGAGAGCAGCCCTGTTCTCCATGGAAGACACAACAAATCCGAACAACTGAAAATTAAAATAAAGCCATTACTACCAACAAAACAAACAAAAAATATCTGACATTCAGAGAAGTCAGTGCCATCTAATCTAATTTAAACCTCAGACATTCAGATATGCTTCTGTTAAGAACGTGGGCCGAGCTGAGTAGTATTTAAGATGCAAATTGTAATCCTTAAAAGCAGGCGCCCCAAGGGAACCAAAAAAATTCAAAAGTAAGGAGAAGCCTAAGACGGATGATTCAAATCAGGAAGCAAACATAAAACCCAGGACAAGAGAGTCGCCTGCTTCAATTAATGCCATCTCTCCACTCTTACTGAAAACAGGGTTTTCCTTATCTGCCACCAAGTTCCTGTTAAGTATCCTCGGGGCAGGGGGTTTCAGCCTGCATCCAGGGTACCCTAGGAATTCCTCAGGGCCCCCACAGAGCACTGGGGGCACAGGCTGGGAGTACGTGCTCTGAGGATCGCCCCTCACTACAGCTAGAGCAGCTCTGCTTCTATCTGATTTACCTAGTAGGTCTCCAGGGGGTTACTGAATGCGGGGTTCCACAGCTTTCTTTTTTAAAAACTTAGCATAAAAAAATGAAAAAGGAAGCTGAAGATGGGTCAAAATTTCTCTGGGAACAAAGTCTCAGATTCCAGACAACCTATCCCGATGGCACTTTACTGGGCTATTATAGCGTAATTAAAACACCCCCCACAAACCTCCAACTCTCTGTGCTCTGGCTGTGTGTTAACAGAGGACCTCCACTGCCCATTTCCGTGCCCTCGGTGGGCCACTCCGTTTGCATATGGCAACTCCACTATGCAGTAACTCTCAATTCCATGCACAGCCAAGGAAGCAGCTCCCAGCGGTCTGGCTGCACCAAAGCCGCTATCAGAATGACCTCACTACCGACTCCAGTGGATACTTTTAAGTCCTTCACCTTATCTGACTTTTCTGTAGCCTTTTATTCCACAAATACTGACAGAGTACCTACTGTGTGCCAAGCACCGTCCCAGGTGCAGGAGGTACAGAAGTGAACAAACTGCCTCGCTTCCCTTCTTGAAACAGTCATTTCCTCCCTAAAACACCCCCTATCCCCTTGATATCTAGGCTTCCAAATGCTCCACTTTTTTCACTTACATGTCTGATGACTCACTTTGCTCTTCTTGATAAATTTCCCTGACTCTGCAGGTCCTTTAAACGGAGGTATTCCTCGTGCTTGGCCCCCAACCCTCCTCCTTCACATATACTTCATGCTCTTCCCTAACCTACGTCAGTCACGGAGTAAGTGAGAATGAAGTAGACGGCTTGAAAAATAGAACACCCCCAATAAATAGTATCATCACACTGCATTCTGCCTATTTTTCTGACATGTGTGTTAGATCACAAGCTTTCTAAGGGTTTCGTATAATATCTTGGGTCCCTAGTGCCTTGCCTCAGACATAGTAGGCATTCAAGAAATATTTGTTGAATGAATGCAGGAGTGAAGTGCCATGTTGGTTTATAAGTCAATCCCTGGCAAACTGGATGTGAAGGTCTCCCTGACCAGACCACTAGTATGTGACATGATCATTCTGAGATTCTAAACCTGCAAAGGGAAGAAGTGAATCAAGAGGCAGGACAAGAAGAAGATAAGGCAACCACAAGGTCAAGTCTGAATCAACCCAGCTCCTTTCCCCAATTATATGATCAGACTGGTTTAATAAAGAAGGATCCTTTCCCATGTCTGGGTGAGTGATTTAGGGAAATCTGATTGCTCCTTCATACAACCTGCCGAGCAAGACACTTCTCCAAATTAAAATTCCGTGGTTTCTAATGAGAGAATCTGAAGAACTGCAGATTTAACCTCTCAACACACGTTGTTTTTCTCATCCACACTAATCCACATTTCCCTTTCTTAGACACCTCTGGTTCTGTCCTAGACTAACATCAAGACATCAGGAGCACCTCCTAGTTAAGAGATAGAGGCTCTACTATAACGAACATACTCCGTATAACCCTAAATGACAGCATTACAAACAAATGTATGGAGTTAGCTCTAGTTTAGAAGGCATAAAAAGAAACACTTTACTTACCGATAGGCAAACTGCGGCAAAGGGTACGGCAGGAAGGGTCTGTGAGCCACAGCAAAGACATACTGCACCAGGTCAAAAAGGACGTACTGACTGGGCCTACAAAAAGAAAACTTACAGTTCTCCAAATTATTGGCTCCTTACAGATTTTCTTTTCAAATTTAACAAAATAACATTTTCCTTATGAAAGAGGAAACACATATGCACTGCAGTAAATACAGACTGGCACAAAGAAAACTCACCCATAATCCCATCAAAAAAAAAGTTAATATATTTAATGTAGCCTTCTCATCCCCTTACATATACACATTTTTTTGCTTTTATAAATGTAAGATTACATAGGTCATCCTATTCTGTAATGTCTTTCATTTAACATTAAATCCCAATCACCTTTCTATGTCACTCAATATTCTAGCGCATATTTAATGATCACATAAATTGCACTGCATGTAATCATAACTATTTGATAAATTCCCAACTTGGGGGATATGGAAGCTATTAAAATATATTTTTCCTTTATAAGATAATGCTTTAATGAACATTCTTACAGTAAACATTTATACTTATCCATAATTATGTATTTATAATGTATTCTAGAAGTGGAACTGGCTCAGAGTATGCTTAGAAATTTTAAGGCTTTTATTGAATACTTCCATACTGCCTTCCAAAAAGGTCCTATCAATTCACATAAAATGCTAGCAGCCCTCTCACCAAAAATGAGTTTAGTCATAAAACTGTGCCAATCTGTTAGGTAAAAAAGGTACCCCAACATTCTAATTTGCATTACTTTAATGATAGAGATTTATTTTTCTTTTTACAGTTTTACCTACTACCTACATACACTTTTCTTTTCTCTCTTTCCTCCTGAAGTCCCGTCTATAAAGAATGATTTGTAAGAATTCTTTATATATACATATATATGTATGTGTGTGTGTGTGTATGTATTTAGAGAGAGAGAGAGTAAGAGAGTGAGAGAGAAAGCGCGCACGCATGAGGAGGAGAGGGAGAGGCAGACTCCCCACCAAGCAGGGAGCCTGATGTGGGGCTCAATCCCAGGACCCCGGGACCACAACCGAAGGCAGACACTCAACCGACTTGAGCTGAAAGAAGATGCTCAACCGACTGAGCACCCAGGTGTCCCAGAATTCTTTATATTTTAATGATATAGTTGGAAATATTTTTTACTGTTTGTATTTCACTTTTTAATGTTTAACTGTTTTGTGGCATACACAAGTTTAAACATTTTACTTAAGCAAAAGTTCGGATTTATTTTATGGTTTGATTTTATATTTAGAAAATCCCTCTACAGTAACCAGTGACATAAATTCCCACATATTTTTTCTTTTTATTTTAAAGGATTTTATTTATTTATTTGAGAGAGAGCACGAGAGGGGGAGGGTCAGAGGGAGAAGCAGACTCCCCGCTGGTTGGGGAGCCTGATGTGGGGCTCGATCTGGGACTCCGGGATCATGACCTGAGCCGAAGCAGACGCTTAACCAACTTGAGCCACCCAGGCGCACCCTGACTTATTTTTTCTAATGCTTTGGGGTTTAATCCATAACATACTTTCCTTCTGCAAAGTATTTTTGTATTGATATAAGGTAAAGGTATAAGACCATTTACTGAATCATCTATCCTGTCCCCATATTTTGAAATGTCACATACTGTGCTCACTTCAGCAGCACATCTACTAAAATTGAAATGTCACATACTATATATTCTTACATATATTTGAGACTGCTTCTGGACTTTCTATCCCACAGATCTGAATAATTTTGTACTGGTACAACCTAGCTTTAGTAATTATTATTGCTTATAATACATTTTAATATCTCTTCTCCCGTTTGCCTAGTCCCCTTTGCCTCAGAAAGCCTGTGAGAGCTCAAGAGTTGAATGAACATAATTCAGTGAGAAACTCCTCATTCTGACATTTTAACAAACAAAAACAAAAAACATGAAAATGTCAGCGAGGGGAACTACCAGACAAAGGCCTCAAGTAGCTTCCTTCAAGTTCCAGAAGGATGTGTAAGGATCACTGCAGGGCATACAAGCTATGCCAAAGAACAATTTGTAATCTTCACAATGACAAGCAATACTGGTATCATGGGTAAACTAATTATATGTAATATACTTGCTCTTCAGCTGCTCTGAAGCACTTTGTGTTCCATTAACTGTGACTCAAGGACCGGTTTAAGTGCCTCTGCTCACAGAGAAAGGTACACTGAAGCCTGTGTCTTTCCTAGCTTAGATTTCATGGTTCAGCATCGTAGTCATTCCTTTGCAAATAGCCTCAGCAAAACCTTGTCCCCCAGCCACCTCTCCACTATACTAGCGTAGCCAAGTCCCTCCTCTGGCTCATGCAAGTATCTGCCTTCTTTGTGCCAGAACCCCAGCAAGACAGAGCTGGAGAGAAAATACAACTGGGCTACCTGGCCTCACCTATATTTCTGATCACTAACTTCAAATGGAAGACTCCGTTCTGCTTTGCTACCCTACTATGCTCTCCCAAGAGGTGTTCTTCTGTGCTCCCAGGGAATACTTCCTATCTTCTCCTCGGTCCTCAAGGTTTCCATATACCTCTCTGACCCACCCCACCCTGCCTTTTAGCTGATGATCTCCCCACTCGTCATCATTTTCTTAATGGTGCCTTGTGAAGTACGGAAGTTTTCCATTTTGGCAGTGTCTAATTTATCAGTTTTTCCTTTTATGAAGTATGCTGTTGATATCACATCTAAAAAAATCTCTGCCTGGGGCACCTGGTGGCTCAGACGGGTAAGCGTCCAACTCATGGTTTTGGTTCTGGTCATGTCTCCGGTTGTGAGATCAAGCCCCGTGTCCAACTCCACACTCAATGCCAAGTCTGCTTGAGAGTCTTCCACCCTCCCTCTCCCTCCCCCTTGCTCCTCCCCCCACTCACACTCCCTCTAAAATAAATAAATAAATAAATAATAAATAAATAAATAAATATCTTAAAAAAATTAAAAATCTCTGCTTAGCCCAAGGTCTAGAAGATTATTTTTCTTCCAAAGTTTTATAGTGTTAACTCTTACATTTAGGTCTCTAATATGTTTTGAGTTAATATTTTCATGTATTGTGTGAAGTTAAGGGCGTATGTTCAATTTTTTGCATGTGGATTTCCCAGGACCGTTTGTGGAAAAGATTATTCTTTCCCCATGAAGTGTCACAGCACTTTTGTCAAAATCAATCATCCATAAACAGAAAGGTTGATTTCTAGACTATCAATTCTGTTTAATTCATCTATATTCTATTCTAATGCCAGTATCACAGTCTTTATAACTATGGTTTTAGAGTACATTTTGGAATTAGGAAATTTAAGTGCTCCAATTTTAGTCTTGTCAAAATGGTTTTGGCTATTGTGGATCTTTGCATTTCCCTATAAATTTAGAATTAATTTGTCAATTTTTGCAAAAAAAAACAAAAAACCTGCTGGACTACAGATAGGATTGGGTTGCATAAATAGATGAATTTGTGGAAAACTGCCATTTTAACAATATTGGCTCTTTCAGTCCATGACCAGGAGATGTCTGTTTACTTAACTCTTCTTTAATTTCCCTCAGCAGTGTTCTGCAAGTTTCTAGATACAGGTCTTGTATTTGTTAAATTTATACCTAAGTACTGTGTTCTTTTGATGCTATTGTGAATAAAATTATTTTCTTAATTTTATTTTCAGATTGTTCATTTGCAAATATATGGAAACAGTTTTATATACCGATCCTGTACCTGTGACCTTGTTGACTTTATTAGTTCTCATAGTTTTATGTACATGTGTGTCTAGCAAGAGATATTTAATGAATGAATGGTAGAATGAACCAACATCCTATAGTTAATAACTATGAAAAAACTAGAAGCAAAATTAAGGTCTTATGCTTTTGCCTTCACCTCAAAGTGTCTGAGAAATAAGCAAAGTTTTCCCCTGGGCTAAAGAGACAAAAAGAGAAACGCAGGTGCCTATCCAGAGTTCGCACACACAAAATGGGTACACTGCCATGCCTAGCACTTCCTTTCCCACCAACATGCCAAACAAGTATGGCGCACTGCAGCTCAGCAAAGAGACTGGAAGGGGCTAGGCAAAGGTAAAGAGGGAAATGGCTAACTCCTCCCAGAGTTATTTCCAGCAAGTAGTAAGCAAAATCTGTAAAGCCATTTCTACTCTTCTTTTCTTCAGAATCCTAGTGTAACTACCGTTTGACTAGAGTCAGAGGTCTTTGAGTCTAGTGATTTATGGACCCGGAGCTGAACACACTTTTTGTGACTAATTCTCCTGGAGTATATAACTCTGTGCTAACACAGTGAACTAGGAACTCAAGAGAGGGGCACATATCTTACAGCCGCTAGATACAGAAACACAGTATGATTTTTTACACTGACAAAAATTTTACTTAAACTAAGCCTATAACAATAGTGAAAAACATAACAATGTATGAATTCATAATCCTGGGAATATATACTATGTTTCCTGGCTTGAAAAGTGTCTTTTCTCTGGAAGCAAATATTTCTTAGGAATTAAGCTATCACTTAGTTGTTCAATCAGATTCTCACCTTTCATGGAACATCAGGTGTCATTAGTTTTGCTTCATAGAATAACAGGGTTCCAGGCCAATTATTAGGTGATTTGGTACCTATCAATCTGGTGGACTGAGTCTTAATTTTTTCGTTTTAGTTAAGTCAGAAAAAAGGTCCTAAATCCAGCTGTGACAGGATTTAATAAAATCAGGTAAGTCACACAGCTTAACTGTGCCCCATCTGTCCTAAGAGCAAAGAGAGCATATCATAAATGATCAGTCTTGTACAGCACAAGCAACTGTACCCTAAACCATCCATCTCCAACCTTTTGGGGGCATTGCAATACTCTATCAAAAGCAATTTAATTTTGCAACTGTACTTATTCCCTAAAAGTATTCTGGTTGTGTTTCTGAATCTATAGTAACATGCTTTATATGTTAAAACATCACTGGAGTAGTACAAAAGCATCCTTGGTGATCACTGGACTAAGTATATGTAATAGTCTAGGGCAACTGGTTCTCTCAGACTTTGGTGACAGAAAAATCACTTATTAAAGCAGATTCCCAGTTCACTCAAAATTCTGATTTAATAGAACCGTTCAGGAGATTCTGACAATAGCGGCCTTTGGACAGCTCTTTGAGACACACTGACCTCAGGGCTAAGGGAATAAAATTTCTGGAATAAATACAGTTGAAGAAAAACACTAAAAATGCAACAAATAAATCTGTAGTGACATGTTTAAGTTATTGTTCTTGTAAATCATTACAATTTGTTCATTTTAACAGGTAGCACAATTTTAAAGTCAAACTCTAGTCACCTACCCAACGAAGGCAAAAGATTTCCCTCTGGAATCTGGATCCTTAATTGCATTAACAATTCCTTTTGATACATCTACAACCTGTAAGAAATCGTAACACATGTTTAAATAATTGTTGAAAGAGAAAAACAGAGGGATGGGGAGATGGAGGGTGAGAGGGAGGGAGGAAGGAAGGAAAGCAGGCCACATCAATCACAACCAAAAAATAAAAAAAATTTTAAAAATAAGTTCAAATAATGGCATTGTCCTTTTTTTTTTTTTTTAAGATTTTATTTTGACATAGAGAGAGAGAGAGAACAAGTAGGCAGAGAGGCAGGCAGAGGGAGAGGGAGAAGCAGGCTCCCCGCTGAGCAGGGAGCCCGATGCGAGGCTCGATCTCAGGACCCTGGGATCATGACCTGAGCCGAAGGCAGTCGCTTAACCGGCTGAGCCACCCAGGTGCTCCCTGGCATTGTCCTTTTTGAGAAAGCTCCTTAAAGAACCCACTCCTCAAGGGCTCAAATGAGTCTACATATAAGTCAAGTAAAAATGGTCTACATATTGGAAGGTTCACCTAAATATTTTTTCTAGTCAGAACATGTTCACACTCAGACAGCTGCTGAGGCCTTCTGATTGGACTCTGCTCACTATCTCTGCAATCTCACCCCTTATCATTCGTCCTAATGCTGTTACCATGCCGCACAAATTAGTAGGCGGAATCCTATGGAACTGCCAATATCCTACCATTTTGACTTTCCCAAATAATAATCTTAAATGATTTCAGACCCCATGGTTTTCAATCGGGGGTGATTTTGGCTTCTCCTGGAAGGCCCTTTTGGCAAAATGCCTGGAGAGGTTTGTAGTTGTCACAACTGGGGGGGTAGTGCTACTGCCATCTGGTGGCCGGCGGCCAGGACTGCTGCTGAACAGTCTACTGTAACAGCCCCTCCAACAAAGAATTATCCGGCCCAAAATGTCAATAGTGCCACAGGTGAGAAACCCTGTTTTCAACATAATATGGAACCTAACATGCTCTTACCTCTGGACCCCTGTACACACTGTTCCTTCTGCTTGGAATGCTCTTCCCCAAACACCTTCATCTGACTTGCTGCTAGCCACCTTTAAGGTCTTACCTTCAATGCTGTTTCCTGTGGGAGGCTATCCCTGAACCTCAAGCCTGGATTCAGTGTCCCTCTGCTGTATTACATAAATCCTCTCCCTATCACAGCACTTACCACACCGCATGACAACTGCTTTGCTAGCCTGCCTCTGACTGAGGCCAACGTGAGGAGAGCAATCTGTGTCTAGTTCATATCTCTATATTCCCAGTGATGTGTACAGTGTGCCTAGCACATTCAATCTATTTTTCTTAAGTGAGCAAACAAATGAACACACAGAGAATACATGTACCTCTTAGATAAACTGAGAGGCAAGCAGTTGGAGCAAGTTGAAAAGAAAAAATGATGGAGTTACAGGATTAGGATAAAACCAGAAAACTGATCACCTGCCTCTGAATCCGCCAAAGCCCTTTCATCCGGGGTACTTACGTATACTGGGTGCTTCACTGTCTTCTTGCCCAAGGAAATAAGAGGTACACCACCAAACCAGCGAGTATCTGACAAAAGAAAGAGAAGTATGCTTTAGAAGGCCTCGACTACTAGAAGCCTCACCAATCTCCATATGCTCCAGGTTAGCAGAATCATTTTGCATAACTGAAATAATGGAATAAATGTAGCTGACATTGAGGAAGCTAATGGGCAGCCACTTGTTTGTCAGATAACAAACATGGAAAGTAAAAAGGCCAAATTTTTAAGGACGTGGAGAGCAAGGGAAAATGGTCAAATGGCTTGGCCACTTGGTGCATGGCCATTCCCAAGATGGGAAAATCACTGCACCCCATTCTAAGGAGGAACATAGGAATCAGTAGATCAGCAACACAACATGGGTAACTCAGAAAAGACCACTCTGGTAAAAAATGGAAATTTAGGATATGATGAATGCATTACCACAAATATGTGGGAAATGAAAAGATTATTTAATACATGGTGCTGAGACAATCATTTTACTAAAATGAGAAAAAAAGAGAAGAAGGGAGGGAGAGAAGGCTCATATCTCACCATAAACCAAAGCAAATCCCAAGTGGACTGAATGTAAAGGTTAAAAAAAAAGCCTTACAAAAAAACTTTTAAAGTAGACATTATTTATAAGAGCATCAAAAAGAATAAAGCACTCAGGAATAAATGTAACCAAATTGGCTAAAGACTTGCACATTGAAAACTGTAAAACACTGCAGAAATAAAACTTTTTAACGATTTATTTATTTGAGAGAGAGTAAGAAAGAGAGTGGGGAGAGAGGCAGAGAGAGAGGGGGAGAGAGAATGTCAAGCAGACTGCAAGCTGAGGGCAGAGCCTGACATGGGCTTTATCACATGACCCTGAGATCATAACCTGAGGCAAAACCAAGAGTTGGATGCTTAACCAACTGAGCCACCCAGGCGCCCCACTGAAAGAAATTTAATAAGCCACAAATAAATAGAAATACATCTCATGTTCATGGTGGAAGACAACACTGTTAATATGTCAAACCACCCAAAGAAATCTACAGGTAATGCAATCCCTATCAAAATCCCAATGGTATATTCTGCAGAAGTATAGAAAGCTCCATCTTAAAATTCATATGGAATCTTCAGGGACCCCAAATAGCCAAAACTATTTTGAGAAAGAAAAACAAAGTTAGATCATATGGGAGATTTCAAAACTTACTACAAAGCTACAGTAATCAAGATCCAAACTGTGGCATAAAGATAGACATATAAACCAGTGGAATAGAATAGAGAAATAACTTTTGTATGTATGGTTAAATGATTTTTTTGACATAGTGCCAAGACCATTCAATGGGGAAATGACAGTGTTTTCAATGACATCAGTTTCAATGATGCTGGGAGAACTGAATATCCACATATAAAAGAATAAAGTTGGACCTCTACCTTACACCATATACAAAAATTAACTCAAAATGGATCAAAGACTTAAACATAACAGCTACAACTACAAAATCCTTATAAGAAAATACGGGGGAAAGTTTCATGACACTGGATTTAGCAATGATTTCTTGGCTATGATACTAAAACATAGGAAACACAAGTAAAAACAGATAAGAAATGAATTTGGGGAAGGGAGGGAAGACAGTGACATAATTCAGTCCAAATCAGATGATAAATTTTATTTTATTTTAATTAATTAGTTAATTAATTTAGTAGGCTCCATGCCCAGTGCAGAGCCCAACATGGGGCCTGAATTCACAACTCTGAGATCAAGACCTGAGCTGAGATCAAGAGTCAGAAGCTTAACCGACTGAGCCACCCAGGCACCTCAGTAAATTTTATATTATATGTTTTTTACCACAATTTTTTTTAAATTGGAAATTAATACAGAATATGAAAAGACATGAGCAATCAGAGTGAAAAAACACAGGATAAAAATATCTAAATTGGATAAATGAACTGTGGTCTATACATACAATGGAATATCATTCAGTTATAAAAAAGAAATGAGCTATCAGCCATGGAAAGACATGAAGGAAGCTTAAATGCAGAGGCTAAGTGAAGGAAGCCAATCTGAAAAGGTGACATAGCATATGATTCCAACTATATGATATTCTAGAAAACAAACTATGGAGACAGAAAAAGATGAGTGGTTGTCAGGTATTAGGCGTGTGGGTAGCAGGGTAAAGAGGAAAGGATAAGAAGGTCGGGCATAGGAGATTTTTAAGGCAATGGAACTATTCTCTATGATAATCTAATGGTAGGTAGATGTCATTATACATTTGTCGAAATCCACAGAATGTACAACATAAAGAATGAATCCTAATGCAAATTATGGACTTAATTAATAATAATGTATCAATATTGGCTCATCAATTTAACAAATGTACCACACTAATGCCAGGTGTTAATAATAGAGAAAAGTGGGTGCCTGGGTGGCTCAGTCGGCTAAGCATCTGCCTTCGGTTCAGGACATGATCTTGGAATCCTGGGATCGAGCCCACGTTGGGCTCCATGCTCAGCGGGGAGTCTGCTTCTCCTTCTCCCTCTGCTGCTCTCCCTGCTTGTGCTCTCTGTCAAATAAATAAATAAAATCTTAAAAAAAAAAATAATAGACAAAAGTGTTGTGGGCAGAGATCCAGGGTTTAAAGGGTATGTGAGAACTCTGTGCTTTCCATTCAACTTTTCTGTAAACCTAAAACTACTGTAAAAAAATAAAGTCTATTAATTTTAAAACAATTTAAGTAAATATGCCAGCAACAAAAAATAACAGTAAATATAACAAAAGATGTTATAATATGTAGTCTAAATCAGTAAGAAAAACATCTCTCAAAAAAACAAATACACATAGGCAAAGGACGTATAAAGAAAACTGAAAGAAAAAATATGAATAGCTAACAAGGAGAAACAGGAAGCAACTGATAAAACTGTACCCCACCAACCATCCTAGGACTTCCTAGGAGGGTCAGAATCCTCTCCTAATACATAAGTGAATAAATTGAGAGGTAACTGGTAATTTGATAGAATCGGAAACTAAAGCTGGGTTCTTATCACAGACTTTAAAAATGTATTCTCCCTTCCCACCCCCACAAATGTACAGGGAAGTCACTTTTTTTACCCGTAAAATCTAAAAATCTCATCACTTAGTCAAGGAGACTGATTTCTTCTGCCAAGACAAGTCTAATTATTAAGCAAACAAAGCCTGAGAGCAAGCATAACACGATGCCCAGCCCATGAAAGCAGTTTACATACCAGTTTAACAAAGGCCAAATTCCTATTTATTAGTCCCTAATCCCATTCCACAGAAATTGCTATTAACAAGGAAGACTGACATGATCTTAGGATCATGAGGTTGAGCCCCGTGTCAGGCTCTGCATTCAGTGAGGAGTCTGCTTGAGATTCTCTCTCTCCCTCTGCCCTCCCCCTGCTCGCGCACTCTCTCTCTCTAAAATAAATAAATAAAATCTTTAAAAAACAAACAAACAAACAAGAAAGACTGATTACATGCACCTGACAAACTACGATGCTGCCTCTTTGTCTTTCAAAATCAACATCCAAGGGACTTGGCAATCAGACTGAAAGTGAGAAAGCAGTTACGAGGGGCTTCATGTGAAAAATAGAAGTAAGGCCAATATTTAAGCACTGACTACGGGCTACTTCATTTCAGTAACATGCCACTCTTGAGACAGACATTTTCATCTCCATTTCAATATACAAGGAAGCTGCCCCTCGTACACCTGCCACAGTCACAGAGCTAGTCAGTCTCTGTCTCCCAAGGCTGCACTCTTCCCGTGAATCTAAGGTGCTTCTTTTCTTAGACAGTAATGAAGACCACACTAGGCACATTGAACCTTTGGGGAGAAAAAGGCAACTGGGGAAGAGAAAATATACCTCAGTCTGTCGAGTCAGAGAACCCTGTTAGCTTGCGCTTAACTTCAACCTGGTTAACCGGTATCCTCTTTTCTACTACTAAGAATACAAGAGAGAATACATACTTGCAAAATGATTGAGGAATCTATCCTCTCTTCCAAAGATGTCCGATGGCTTTATGATGATGGCTTCCGGAAATGCATCTCTCACTTCCTTCTCTCCAACAGCCTAAACAACCAACCAAACAAAAAATAGAGCTCAGAGATGAGTGAACAGAGCTTGCGTTCCTTCCACTATCAGGACGTTACTTATATTTCAAAGGTCAGTTTCTCCAGATTAAGGCAGGATTCATAAAAGTCAGTTACACAGAATTTTTTTTTAAATAACACACAAAAGTGCCCTGCTTCTAATGGCTCTTTTTGGGTTTCTTCCTATATTTATCCTGGGGAAGCTTACGCAGAAGAAAGGAGAAAACTCAGAGTAGAATTTTTCCAGCCTCCATTTTTCTTTCTAACCATAGGTTCTCTAGATGGTGTCACCAATCTAGCAGGCTGCCAGACAAAGGAGAGTGTGTTCGGAGGCCACGATATGGAAGTGGCAGCACACATACCTACCCAGAGTGGGGACAGGCCAGGAACCTTTCTAACCTCAACACCCTCGCTTGTTTCCATCTACCTCCTAGACGAGGCCTCTTTCCGTGCAAGTATCAGCACCTTATCCAGCCTTCCTCCCCACCTGCACAGCCACTGCGAGTGACATATATGTCCAGGTGGACTTGAACCTCTGTTTCTTCAGCTTCTCAACTCCAGTGATCTCTTCTTTTCTCCACTTCTGCCCCCTTCAACTCATTCAGGCCATGGACCATATCAACAACTGCGATTACCCTTCTTCTGAAATACTACATGAAGACATCCTGTTCTCAGATGGCAATCTCCCATACTTCCAGCTGCTGCTTCTTCATCACCTGTTCCTGGGATGTCTGGTCATCACCTTCTCAGGAGCGCTAGTCCTCTGATGCTGCTTTCCTCCACATCAAGTCCTCCTAACTTACCTCAGACTAGATTCCATGGCCCAACTTGTCAATCAGTCTCTTACCAATACTGTAAACTATCTCATCCCTTTGTCTTTACTCCTCCACCCACCAGGCAAAATCCCAATTCTGAAACAACCCCATTAGCTTCCTTCTTTGAGCCATGCACTCCCACTGTCTTCAGAGCTAGAGGAAAATAAATACATAAAAATCATAAATTGGACAACTCAATAGCAAAAAAAAAAAAGTCCCAATTTGATCAAAAAATGGGCAGAAGATCTGAATAGACATTTTTTCCAAAGAAGACACACAGATGACCAACAGGTACATGAAAAGGTGCCCCAAATCACTAATCATCAGGGAAATGCAAATCAAAACCACAATGAGATATCACCTCCCACCTATTAGCATGGCAATTATCAAAAAGACAAGAAATAACAAATGTTAGTGAGGATGTGGAGAAAAGGGAACCCCTGTGCACTGTTGGTGGGAATGTAAATTGGTGTGGCCACTATGGAAAACAGTATGAGGGTTCCCCAGAAACTTAAAAATATAACTACCATATGATCCAGCAATTCCACTTCTGCTAACATGTCCAAAGGAAATAAAAACACTAACTTGAGAAGATATCTGCATCCCCATATTCAGTGCAGCACTATTTACAATCATCAAGATATGGAAGCAATCTAAGTGTCCATCAGGAGATGAAGGGTTAAAGATGTCATAAATACACACACACACACACACACACAATGCAATTAAAAAAGAAGGAAATCTTGCCATTTGCAACAACATGGATGGACCCTGAAGGCATTATGCTAAGCAAAGTATTCAGACAGAGAAAGACAAATACCATAGATCTCACTTATAAATGGAATAAAAAAAAAAAAACAAAAGCAAACAAAAACCCCAGCAAACTCATAGATACAGAGAACAGATGGCCAGAGGCAGGGGTAAAGGGGATCAAAAGGAACAAACTTCTAGTTATAAAATAAATAAGTCTCAGGATGTAACATACAGCATGGCGACTACAGGTAATTTGAAAGTTGCTAATAAAAGAGTAGATCATAAAAGTTCTCATCACAAGGGGCGCCTGGGTGGTCCAGTCGGTTAAGCGTCGGACTGTTGATTTCAGCTCAGGTCATGTTGGGCTCTGTGCTCAGCAGGGAGGCTGCTTGTCTCTCTCCCTCTGTTCCTCCTCCTGCTCATGTTCTCTCTCTCTTTCTCAAATAAATAAATAAAATCTTAAAAAAATAAAAAGTTCTCATCACAAAAAAAAAAAATCTGTAACTATGTGTGGTGATGTTAACCAGACTTACTTATTGTGGAGATCACTTCACAATATATACATATGTCAAATCATTACATTATACACCTGAAACTAATATAATGTATGTCCATTACACCTGAATTCAAAAAATCATAAATTGCTGCCACTTATATACTCATGTCATAAATCTTAACTGGGACTTCAACATAACCCAAGTACTGTTTTCTTCTAATTAGCTGTTCTCTCCTATGACAATTTCAAACATTCTCTATTCTATTCAAATTCCTCCCTTACTATGCTCTTTCTTCCAATAAATGACTTCACCTTCTCATTCAAAGAGAAGATATGGCAGCAGACAAAAACCACCTCAAGTTCCCACCAGAAAATCCACAACTCTCCTCCTTTCTTATCTCCTCTGCTCCAGGACTCACTTCCTTTCACTTTCTCAGGAGCCTGCCCAACTGACTCTCTCCTTTATCCTCAGTCTCACTCTTTACCAGCACCTTCTCACCAGCACTTACACAATGTCAAGATCTTCCACCTTAAAAGAAAAACGATTCTCAACTCCACGTGCCCCTTCAGCTTCTTGCCCCATCCCTCTTCTTACCAAACCACTTAAAAATGCCACCTGCTCTTACTGTCCCCACTGCCTCAGTTCCTGCTCACTCTTTGTTCACCTGTGCTCTAGATTCTGCCCCAACACTTGCACCCAAACCATTCTTAATCAGATCAAAAATGACCTCCATCCATATTGGTAGATCCAAGGTGACTTTCCAGTTCTCACCTCACTCGGCTTCTCATTGGCATTCATAAGCAACTACTCCCCCCTTGCGACACTATCTTCCCTTGGCTTCCATGACCTTATACTCTCCTGGTTTCCCTTCTACCTCACCATGTCCACTCCTTCTCAGTCTTTGTTTGTTTGGGTTTTTGCAGGTGCCTCCTTGTCTACCAGAGCACTAATCATTGGTATTCCTCTGAGCCCTGTCCAAAGTTCTCTCAATCTACGCTTCCTCACTAGGCAATCTTATTCCCAAACATTGCTTCAATTAACCGGTTTTATTTTTTTTTTTTAAGATTTTATTTATTTATTTGGGGGAGAGAGAGAAAAAGAGAGAGAGCATGAGCCAGGGGGAGGGGCAGATGGAGAAGCAGGCTCCCCACTGAGCAGGAACCCTAGGATCATGACCCAAGCCGAAGGCAGATGCCCAACTGACTGAGCCACCCAGGCACCCCTAATTAACTGGTTTTGTATCTTCAAACCAGACCTCACTTCTGAGCTCCAGGATCATAAACCCCATTCACCATTGTTACTTGGATGATTGACAGACACCTGAAATGCAACCTGAGTCCAAAACTGGATCATCCTCTTCCTTCTCTGTAAATACTATTTTTCTATCTTTGCTGTGCTTTAGGATTACCTAGGGATAGTTAAAAATATCGATGCCCAAGTTCTATCCCCAGAGATTCTACTTTCATTGGTCAGGGTGCAGGATTTTTCAAAGTTCCTAGTGCTTCTAGTGGGCAGCTAAGGCTAAGAACCACTGCCCGAAAGCCTTGTCCTTCTCAAGTGTTTCTCCCCTTATTCACCAGCACTACCATCTACCTTGTGGTGTACACCACAGGGCTGGACATCTCTGAGTCTTCTCCCACCACTGACTCCAGCCCCAACCCTGGCCCTTCCAAACAAGCATGGATTCAGACGATTCTGTGAATGCCAGATGCAGGTAGGCAGAGAGTGCATACGCTCATTCTCCCTCATCCATGCAGTATAAAAATGCTGAGGCTTGAATGTGCTGCCAGCCAGTTCCATGACTATGAGAAACAGCTTACACAAAAAGAAGGAGCTGAAAGAATCACAGAGAAACCAAGCTGAAACTCTGATGAACCTTGGCACCAATGTGGCTAAGTTTCCTTATTGCTGGATTTTTCAGATTATAGGGGCCTATAAACTCCCTTTATATTTAACCAGTTTACACTGAATTTTCAGATGCTAGCAATTAAATGCTCTGAACTGATAGACAGATGCCCTCTCTACCCCCATTATATGCTCCTACAGCACAGCTCCCTACTTTGCAACACCAGGCACAAGTGGAATATTTTCCTCAATAGATTAGAAACTAGATAGGGGCTAGGACTGTGTCTGTTTTATTTGCTACTGTATCCCCACCATCTAATACAATATACAGCACACTGTAGGTACTTAATAAATCATTTGTTCAATAAAAGAATGCAGTGGGTCAAAAAGCTGGAGTCCCTGGCAAAGAACTCTGCGGTCCTTACCAATGTGACCCAAAGCAGGCTCATGACAGCAGAAAACAAATGCTAAAGACAGCCCCAGACACTGCAATTCCTTTGAGTCCCTGATAATAAAGACATTTCAGGCTATAGAATGACCCCAAATCAGAATGGTCAATCCCTAGGTACAATCTGGATGACAATGTGGTTTCTGGAAGTATAAAAAGCCTAAATACTAGATTTCCTTGGCAAATATTTATCCCTGTCATCTTCAGCCTTTACATTACCCCTGTAAGAGTAGCATACGACCATACTAGGCATGAGGTTTGAGAAAAAAAGATGGTCTTTCAACCTGTAGGTGATACGGGTAGGACGCTTTTGACAGAAATAATACTCTACCTTTTATGAGGTTTACTATATAATCCTATTATGTCCCAAGCAACTTTCAGCATTTGAGAACAAGTATCCATCTCTGAAGCCCCTTACCAGAGTTCCCTGCAAACAGAAAGCACTCAACCAAAATGTCAGAATACAACACACACATCACACACATCAATCTAATTCTGGATATGGAGAATTAGAGAAACCCCTTTTATTTCTGGATATGTCAGTGAGAAACCCTTCTCACTTAACTCATGTTTCAAAGGGGCCAAGAAACTCTGGGAACCACTTCCCAAGTCAACTTGTCACCTACCTTATTTCTCAGATATCTAGAAGGGCTTTTAATATCAGCATTCAGATGTGAAACATGAATGAGCTTTTCAACTCCAGCTTCCTTGGACACTTGAGCAATTGCACGGGGAATCTTCACAAAAATATCCTCAAAATCAAAGTTTCTGGAAGAAGGAAGAAAAAAAGGGGGGGGGATCAGTTAAGAACACCTGTTTAAGGATTCCAAAGCTTTCTGTGATAAGCTAGTTTTCATACTATTGCTGGAATTCTTAATAGTTAAAACTTTTAAATGGCAACAATTTAACCCAAAGTCAAAATTAATATATATATGTGTATTTTATATATATAAGTTTTACTGCTCATCATCATTACTGTACATAATTTAAACCTTACCATAAGTCATAAATCAGCACACATAATATTCTCTGTGCTCCAGGAATCCCAAGGCTGAGACCCTTTGAGAACATCTGGCTGCAGTGGCTGGGAAGGGGGGAAGTGTTGGGAGCTGAAAAGGGACCCACTTCTTATCCCTGGGCCTTTGTTTCCCCCAGGGGGGAAAAAAAACTAAAAAAATCAGTCACCAGTTTAATCCAATAACATTAACATTACACAATAACATTAATGCTTACACTGTACAAGGCGCTGTTATTAGTCACTACAGGAGATTTAAAGTTGAATGAGACTCTCCAAGTCACCAAAGAACTTAGAAATATGTGATGAGGCAGACTTAGATTATCAAACTTTAATAAATGTTAAGAAAATGGTATGAACAAAATGTGCAACTATAAGATTAAAACACTATCTGTTGATAAACAACCTACACAAAGGCTAACAAGAACTGTTCAAACCAGTACTCATGTCATCTTTGATTAACAATGTGAACACTGTTTACGCAAGAAAAACCAATGTTCAGCTTGATGAACAGTAGGATGGGCAAAATCGTCCTGCCTAACCCATCCCAGCTGGACGAATCTAAAACAGGATCAGCCATTATGAACCAAACGGTCATTCCGTCAAGCTGATGACACCAACCACACTGACATAATCCCTACCGGCTTTTTATGGGTAGCGCATCACATTGCTCACTTATACCAGACTTACTGCCAACTGAATCTCCTGAAAGGGGGTTTTTGGGTATGTAAACAGGTGTCCAATGCTTAATGATGGACTAACTAAAAATGTGACAACTACAATTCCTGACATTAGAAGGTACCCAGTGAATGTCTACTGAACCTTAAGATAGCATATGCAAAGAAAAAACAAGAGCCAAAGACTTACTTGGTTTCCCATTCTCGCCCAACAAGATTAATGACCACATTGCTGTGCTTCACTGCTCTTCGGATAGAATCTTTGTTCCTCCCGTCCCATTCCTATAAGAACAACAGCCAGTCAGATGCAAACATAAGGGCAAGTTTCAAAACAGGCCATCTGTTGTAGTCATAATATGGTACCATTTCATACAGGCTCCATTTATTACAAGAGAAATGGTCATGAGGTCTCAAATTCCCTCCTGATTCTCTGACTCTCCTGGAGACAAAAAGATCACAGTCTATTTTATTCAGGCAATGAAATGATAGAATTAGAAAAGACAATATTCATTTTTAGTGGGGCACATCCATTTCTGGCCACCCAACTGCCCCTTGCAACTTGTAAGGGAATCTGGCTACCAAATCTCCCTTCCTGAAATAGAGCCAAAGAGTCAAGGATCATTTGGGAGGAAAACTGACTTGCCCTTTTTGCAGCAACCAGCTACAGATTGAAGGTAGGAGGAGTATCTCTTAAAGGCTACCATTAAATTGGGAGCATTCATGACTATTTTCTTATCTCTCCTTAATGCTTTCCTCTTTATAATCCTAGATGTAGTCATTTCTTCTAGTCACTTCAGATCTAGTCACTTCAGACATTGAAAACAACACACAGGGAGGAGTGACCTGCCTAAAAGTGCAGGGTGAGCCAATGGCAGATTTCAGTGTAGAACTACATGTCTGAGTGATTCAAGCCTACAGTCAGGTTGACGATTCTTTTCCAAAACGGAGACCAGGGATTAAATTACCTCAAAGATACAGCATTTTCTATGTTAAAATGAAATTGGATTTTTTAAACATTTCGAAGGAAAATAATAAGTAGTAAGAAGTTCTTAGGGTCAAATGCTAAGGGGTATGTATGAGTGAAAGGAGAGTGAGTGAGAAAGGAACAATGGGGCAGGGGGAGTGACTGGGCGGGGCCCACTAACATACCTGTGCAATTTAGAAAGGGCTCCAGAAACCAGACTCAAGAGCAAAAGATGAAGCCCTCAAGAGGAGGAACTAGTTATAACTGATGCAGGAGAGGGGGTACAAGAGACATATAGAGTGACAGCTGGGGAGTCAGACAACTCCATTTGCCTTTTGTGAATGGTGTACAAAGTTATCTCTCCAACCTCTATGTAAAATTTGAAAATACAACCTATCTCAGGGGTTTGCTATGAAGATAAAGTAAAAGAGACATACAATCTGCAGCACAATGAGTGACACAGCTAATAAAAAAAAACAGTTCTTGGGGCACCTGGGTGGCTCAGTCGGTTAAGCGGCTGCCTTCGGCTCAGGTGACCGAAGGTCACTTTAAAAAAAAAAAAAAGCAGTTCTACACATAAAAAGCTAAAAAGACTTTTTTTTTTTTTAAGATGGCAAGAGTGGGAAAAAAAGAATCCAAGAAGTGGATTCCAAAACTCAGAGTGGCTTGGGGTACATCTGCAGGAATGGCACAAGAGAAAAGCCTGGAGAGAAAGAATTAAAAGGAAACCAAATTCCCAGGGATAAGGCCCAGGGGGTACAATCAAGTTTGCAAACCAAGTGGTTGTTCAGACAGTAGTTTCCACCACAGACTAAAGCAGGGAAATCAGTACCTCACACTTAGTATGGTTCACCCTTGTCAAAAATAAACAACAATATAGTGAAGTCTTTCCGTTTTATCTTTCTCATACTTCCCCTTTTGTAAACATTATTATATTCAAAGTAATATACTTGGGGCGCCTGGGTGGCTCAGTTGGTTAAGCGTCCGACTCTTGATTTAGGCTCAGGTCATGATCTCAAGGTCGTGGGATCAAGCCCCACGTTAGGCTCCATGCTGGGCACAGAGCCTGCTTAAGATTCTCTCTCCCTCTGCCCCTCCCCGCCTTCACGCTCGCTCTCTCTCTCTCAAAAAAAAAAACGTTATATGTTTAGTCTCTGTATTCTCTATTAACACTGAGAGCTCCCTGTGGTCTTGTTCATCAAAACATGCTCAGAGTTTAGCTCAACGTCAGGCATTCTATAAATACCTGTGGAAAGAATGGAATATGTATCATATATCTCAATTCCAATGACTCCACATCTGCAAGCCAAAGTTTTCACCGATCATTCGTGAAATACTTTAATTTTGAGGATTGACAAAGTGACCAATAATCTCAAGTCACAAAGAAACAGGAAAAAAGCTAAGCTCCTCTAACTGTAAGACCAAGAAGATATTTGAGAATAAGATTTTAGAGAAGATGGCATCAGGGAAATCCAAATCAAAACCTCAATGAGATACCACCTCACACCAGTCAGAATGGCTAAAATTAACAAGTCAGGAAACGACAGATGTTAGCGGGGATGCGGAGAAAGAGGAACCCTCCTACACTGTTGGTGGGAATGCAAGCTGGTGCAGCCACTCTGGAAAACAGTATGGTGGTTCCTCAAAAAGTGGAAAATAGAGCTACCATATGATCCAGCAATTGCAGTACTGGGTATTTACCCCAAAGATACAAAAGTAGGGATCCGAAAGGGTACGTGCACCCAATGTTTATAGCAGCAATGTCCACATTAGCCAAACTGTGGAAGAAGCCAAGATGTCCATCAACAGATGAATGGATAAAGAAGATGTGGTATATATATACAATGGAGTATTATGCAGCCATCAAAAGGAATGAGATCTTGCCATTTGCAACGACGTGGATGGAACTGGAGGGTATTATGTTGAGCAAAATAAGTCAAACAGAGAAAGACATGTATCATATGATCTCACTGATATGAGGAATTCTTAATCTCAGGAAACAAACTGAGGGTTGCTGGAGTGGGAGGTGGGGTGGGAGGGATGGGGTGACTGGGTGATAGACACTAGGGGAGGGTATGTGCTCTGGTAAGCGCTGTGAATTGTGCAAGACTGTTGAATCTCAGATCTGTACCTCTGAAACAAATAATGCAATATATGTTAAGAAAAAAAAAAAAAGAAAAAGAAGAAGAAGAAGGTAGCAGGAGGGGAAGAATGAAGCGTAGACGAACCATGAGAGACGATGGACTCTGAAAAACAAACTGAGGGTTCTAGAGGGGAGGGGGGTAGGAGGATGGGTTAGCCTGGTGGTGGTTATTGAGGAGGGCACATTCTGCATGGAGCACTGGGTGTTATGCACAAACAATGAATCATGGAACACTACATCTAAAACTAATGATGTAATGTAGGGGATTAACATAATAATAAAAAAAAAGATTTTAGAGAAGAAAAACACTTTAGAAACAAGAAATTTCCAACATATTCTTAGCTTGTGAACATTCAGTAAGGAATAAATGAAAATGTTATTAAAAATAAGTAAAAATTTGGGCGCCTGGGTGGCTCAGTTGGTTAAGTGACTGCCTTCGGCTCAGGTCATGATCCTGGGATCCTGGGATCAGGTCCCACATCGGGCTCCTCCTGCTCTGCGGGGAGCCTGCTTCTCCCTCTCTCTCTGCCTGACACTCCCCCTGCTTGTGCTCTCTCTCTCTCTCTCAAATAAATAAATAAAATCTTTAAAAAAATAAGTAAAAATTTAAAAGAGATCACAAATAATCTGCATGAATATATCAGAGATCTTCAGAATGTTTACCAAATTATTTTTTGTTTTTATTTATTTTCTTAAAGATTTTATTTATTTGACAGAGAGAGACACAGTGAGAGAGGGAACACAAGCAGGGGGAGTGGGAGAGGGAGAAGCAGGCTTCCCGCTGAGCAGGGAGCCTGATGCGGGGCTCGATACCAGGACCCTGGGATCATGACCCAAGCCAAAGGCAGACGCTTAACGACTGAGCCACCCAGGCGCCCCCCAAATTATTTTTTAAAAGGGGAAGTATGTACATGGAAGAGCTCAACTTCATACAGAATGATAAAAGCAGGACAATTTAGCCAGAACAGGAGACTGAGCATCAAGGCCCAGAGTGTTTCTCAATAGGATAACTGCAGGCACTGGGGACAATGTAACTCCCTGTGGAAACGGACTGCTCTGGGAGCTGTATGATATTTAGCATCCCTGGTCCCTAGCTAATAAACCAGTATGGTCTCCAATCATTGTGGCAACCAAAAAGGCCCACACGTTTTTAATCACCCCCTTGAAGGGTCCCCCCCTACCCTGGTTCCCTACTGCCTCACCCCATTGGCAACTCTTGGCCAAAGGAAAAACCTGCAGATTATAGAATAGCAATAGGGAAGCACAACGAGCACTGTTCTAAATTCAGTCTGTGCCAAGGAAACCAAGTTATAAAACACCCTATTTGTGATTTTCACCATCTACAGAAGAACTGTCCAACAGAAATATAACATGAGGCACACAGGCAATTCTAAATTTTCCACCAGTCACATTTAAAAGAGTAAAAAGAAACAGGTGAAATTCATTTTAATAATATATTTTATTTAACCGAATATATCCAAAATATTATTTCAATATGTAATAAGTGTAAAAAATTATTAATGATATATATCACTTTCTTTGTACTAAGTGTTTGAAATCTGGTGTGTATTTTGTATGTACAGCATCTCTTAATTAAGATTAGCCACATTTCAAATGTTCCATGACCACACGTGGCTGGTGGCTACCATACTAGATGGCACGGGCCTACAGCAGGGGTCAGCAAACCATATCCCAAAGGCAAATCTAGCCTGTAGTCTAACTTTGTAAATAAAGTCTTTTTTTTAACATTTTTTAAAGGATTTTTTTATTTATTCATTTAAGACACAGAGATACAGAGAGAGAGAGAGAGAGAGCATGAGCAGGGGGAGAGGCAGAGGGAGAGGGAGAAGCAGGCTCTCCGCTGAGCCAGGAGCCCGATGTGGGGCTCGATCCCAGGACCCTCGGATCATGACCTGAACCAAAGGCAGACGCCCAACCATCTGAGCCACCCAGGCGCCCCTGTAAATAAAGTTTTATTAGAACACAGCCACTTCCATTCATTTATACATTATCTATAGCTGCTTTCAGCCTAGAAGGGCAGAAATGAGTAATCATGAAAAGACCCTGTGACCCACAAAAGCTAAAATATTTACTATCTGGCCCTTTACAGAAAATGTGTGTCAACTGCTGGGCAAGAGTTTAAAAGAAGGGGATGAATGAAGGATGCCCTTGGTTCACTCTGGGATGAAACTATTGCTTTATTACACTGTCTCTCTCTCCTAAAAATGTCCTCAGTAATTTACATCTGTCAACTCCAATAATCAGTCACACAGGCTCTTACCAGAAAGATAATCTGGCCCAGGTCACCCATGGGACGAAGGTGCATGGTGTCATATGGATCACACCGATAGGGTACGATCACCTGTGACCCCATACGTCCTAAAAAAGAATGGATTGAAACAAGGATCAACATTAACATAATATGGATATTTACTTTATAGGACAATGAATGATTTGGTAAATATTTAACTTCTAGTATGATAAATGAATGGATACCATGTTTAACAAAAAGCATATTTTGCTGTGCGAGAGATGCCGTAACTTTTCAGAGACCACATTCCTGTTTCTACAACCTATACAGAAAGCATGATAATGCTTCCTAATGAACAGCAGATCAGAATTACATAAACCCAAGATAAGAGTAATCTGTAACACTGTTAAATTGAAAGAAACATGGTTCATGGCTTCTCATTAGGCAACCCTAATAAATGGCACTGGGGCATACGGAACTTAAAGAACTACTTACCAAGATGGTTGACAACATATCGGCCCAGGAATCCTGTTGCTCCAAACACAGTGGCCACAATCCCACTGACTGAGGAACGCCCACCTTTGCCATGAGGTATGAGTGCATGATGAAGCTGGCGCTGGGGTGGGCCATGAAACACAGCTGTGGCTCTTGCAGTAATAGAAGAACCTTAAACAAAACCCCAGAGTATACAAAAATGGTAAATGTTAATATATATCTTTTCCTAGAAACTGGTAACATTATTTTGTTATCAGTACTTTCATATACTTAAGATGAATTTTTAAATCAAAAGTTGTAATTTAAGTGCCAACAGCAATAATAAACTACCGCAACAAAGAATCCATGTGTCATAAGGAAATATTAAAAATTAGAAAATACAGTTGATCTTTCAATAACACTGGTTTGAACTGCATGGATCCACTTTTATGCAGATTTTTTCAATAAATACAGCACAATACTATATTTTCTCTTCATTATGATTTTCTTTAATAACATTTTTTCTCTCACTTTACTGTAAGAACACAGTATATAATACATACAGGTAAACATACAGAATATGTTAATCAACTATTTATGTTACCAGTAAGGCTTCTGGTCAATAGTAGGCTATCAACAGTTAAGTTTTAGGGGAACCAAAAATTACACATGAATTTTTGACTGCAGGGATGGGGGGGGGTCAGTGCCCCTAACTACTGTATTGTTCAAGAGTCAACTATAAACTTCCTGCCCTATGGGATACAATATACCTAGGAAGATAAATCACATTTAAAAAATTAAAGTTACATATTAAGAGAATATAAACCTCCACAATAAAAGGAAATGAGAGAATGCACAGGAAGAAAGCAATATAAGAGGAAGGATTCTTGAATAAAATGGATTTTGGGGGGGCGCTTCTTCCAGTTTTACTGAGAAATAATCAACATATATCACTGTGTAAGTTTAAGGTGTACAGCACGATGGTTTGATTTACATATATTATAAAATGATTACAACAGGTTCAGCTTATGTCCATCATCTCATAGAGATATAATAAAAAAGAAAAAAGAAAAAAAACAATTTTCTCCTAGTGATGAGAACTCTTAGCATTAACTACCCTAATGTTTTATCATTATCATTCGGCAGCATTAGCTATAATCACCATGTTGTACATTACATCTCGAATACTTATTTATAACTGTAGGTTTGTACTTTTGACCACCTTCCTCCAATCCCCCTTCTGCAACCCTCTGCCTCTAGGAACCACAAGTCTGAGCTCTTTTTCTCTGAGTTTGGGTCTCTTTTTAATCCCACATATGAGGGAGATCATACAAAGTTGAGATCATATGTATTCGTCTTTCTCTGACTTATTTCACTTAGCGTAATGCCTTCAGGGTCCATCCATGTTGCAGCAAATGGTCGGATTTCCTAGTTTTCTTTATGGGCAGATAATATTCCATCTTATATAAATACCACAACTTCTTTATCTGTTCAACCCTCGATGGACACTTAGGTTGTTTTCATGTCCCGGCTATTGTAAATAATGCTACAATAAACATGGGAGTGCAGGTACCTCTTTTGAGTTAGTATTTTCATTTCCTTTGAACATATTAGCAGAAGTGGAATTGCTGGATCACATAGTAGTTGTATTTTTAATTTTTTGAGGAACCTTCATGCTATTTTCCATAGTGGCCGTTCCCTTTTCTCCACATCCTCGCTAACATTTGTTATCTCTTGTCTTTTTCATGATGGCGATTCTAATGCGTAAGGTGATATCTCATTGAGGTTTTAATTTGCATTTCCCTGATGACAAGTGATGTTGAGCACCTTCTCATGTACCGGCTGGCCTTTCACATATCCTCTTTGCCCATTTTTTAATTGGGTTATTGGTGGGGTTTTTGCTATTGAGCAATAAACTAGTTTGAGTAAGGCTGTAAAGAGGAACAACAGAAAGAATAGATTTCCGTGTGAAACATGTAAAACATATAACAATGTAGACGTGGGAATGAATAAGCCCAGTGCAGGGAACAGAAGATTTACCTGGAACAGACTCTGAAACTGATAACGAATGAAAAAATAAAGTTGATGATACATGCTGGAGGCAGAGGACTATTAGTAGAGAACATTTTTTTAAAAAAAGAGTACAGTTCAGACAATATAAAGCTACTGAAAATCATCAAAAGTCATGACGAAAGGAGTGTTTGAGAAAAAATTTTCTGACCTTTAGAAAGGTTAATTTGTCAAACCTCTCACTATTTACATCTCCACACTATATGCGCAAGGAGACCATGTGGCCTTAGCCTGGACATCTGCAAGGTGGGGAAACACGACTTCCCATTGCAGACCATTCTCATTAGAGCCATTCTAACAAAGGGTTCCACCACATGGGAGATCAATGACTGTTTCCCAGCAGCTTTGATCCCTTTGTTCCTCTGGAATGACAAAGAACAAATTTAACCCCTCTCCTGCATTTAAGTTCAGCAATTATATCTCTACTAAGTCTTTTCCAGGTTACACATTCCTAGTTCCATCAACTATTCTTCATTTGGCAGAGGTGTAAAACTCCTTTGGAATCACACTCCCAATTTTCAAGTCCCTTGAAACATATTATGGCAAAGTTTTAGAGCAAATTACTTAACTTTCAGAGAATAAGTAAAAACCAACTAAGACATTTAAAGGGCTAATAAACTTTTGCTACAATCAACAAACTGTTTACCATCAGCACTGGTGCTTTGTAAACTTGGGGAAAACTGAAAGAAACAAATAGTAATTGCTTTAGAAAATCTGTATTGGAAAAAAAAAAAAAGGAAGGAAGGAAGGATGGTAAGTAAGTAACTAAGTAAGTCTGTGTCTCTTCTCTGCACATGATTCTCCAGTGGCATTCTACCCAGAAACCATGGGTTTTCCCTAATCAGAAGCATGAAATTAGAGAAAAAGCCTAGCTTACTGAACAATGACTGAAACCACAAAGATTAAAAACAAACACTGCAGATCAGACACTTAACAACAAACTGTTACCACAATAACAGCTAAACTTACAAAACTGTTAACAGATGCCAGGCATTGTTCTAAGTGCTCAGTAGGTATTATCTTATTTAATACTATTCTTACTGTAACTTTACAGATGTGGAAGCTCAGGCTCAGAGAGTTTAAGTGACTTGCCCGAAAAGCCAGCAAAGGAGACTGAAAAGCAGCCCAGTAAGGTAAGGGGAAAACAAAAGGAAATGATACTCAGAAGGTAAATGAAGAAAGGGACTGACAGAGGTAACAGTTAACTCTATCAAAGGCTGCTGAAAAGTGAAGTAGGATGGGGACAGAGGACCACAGACCTAGAAGATGTTGGTTTTGAGTGGCCTTAATAAGAACAATTTTATTGCTGTGGGAATGACAGCCTGACTCGAGCAGGCAAGAGAGAATGTGAGGCAAAGAAGTGGGAAAAGGAGTATCAATGATTCTTCTGAGGAGAGATGATGTGAAAGGGGGTAAAAGGACTAGAGGAACATGAGGATAAGGAAGGATTTTTTTTTTTAATATTAGCTATTATAACATATTTATACACTGATGGAAATGACCCAGTAGAGGGGAAAAATGAATGATTCAGGAGAGGGAATGCACAGGTAATTGAAGATGGGATGGAATGCAAAACAAAGGAAGTGGCTTTAGATCAAAGCAGGAGGAGCTCGTCCACTATCACAGGAGGGAAAGCTGAGAATTATCACAGCTCAGCTATTAGATTTTTATGGTGGGAAAAAGATCGTTCTCATCTGATTCCTCTGATTTCTAGGTAAAGGTGAGAATGAGACAGAAGCACATGTTAAAAGTTTTAGGAGACTGACAATGTTAAATAATCATTATGGAAAAGGCAAAGCAAATTTCTTGAAAAACATAATACTGAAAATCTACTTGATATCTGTATTCATGAATTTAAAATAAGGTCAGTCAGTTTTGAGTTTTCTGTAGCTCAGTTCTCTACTGCAGGAAATGTGTGGAAAGCTTGGTTTAATTAGTGGGGGTTTTTTTGTTTGTTTGTTTTTTAATGCCACAGGCAGATGGGCTGGGGAGTTAAGAATGTATGGGGGAATGATTAGAATGATCTTTAAGGAAGGAAATGAGGACACTGGATAAAGGACAGTAAATAAAACAGGAAGAATGACTGGAGTCAAGGAATTAATATCTCAAATGATTGTTAGGAGATTTACAATAAATGTATATAAAGCATTTAGCACATTATCTAACGCATGTTAAGCACTCCATGAGTAACAGATGCTTTCATTTGTTATTACTTCAGAATCTCTTGGGTGATGTTACACTAACCTCATGAGATTATTTATTTTCCCCCAACAATTATAGGCCAAGCACCATTCTAGAAACTGTGACTAGCACAATAAAAATGACAAAGTCCCTGGCCTCGGGGAGCTTACATTTTAGAAGGTTGACTTGAAAATTAATATGTGGGTAGGTACCTGTCACAGTGCCTTGCACTAGGTAGGTACTCAATAAATAAAAGTTGTTACCTTCTTTGGCTCCAACCTCTCTATTTTCTTCCATATGTTATGAACCATTAGGAGAGTAATATTCTTTACTCATTATATTCCTCTGCTCAAATACCTCTATTGGCTTCTTACTGTAATATATAAACCAATCTTCTCCAAACATATTTGCTTGCATATTGCATTAGTTTTATTTTTTATTTTATTTTTTTTTAAAGATTTTATTTATTTATTTATTTATTTGACACAGAGAGAGAGAGAGACAGCTAGAGAGGGAACACAAGCAGGGGGAGTGGGAGAGGGAGAAGCAGGCTCCTGGCCGAGCAGGGAGCCCGATGCGGGGCTCGATCCCAGGACCCTGGGATCATGACCTGAGCTGAAGGCAGACGCTTAACAACTGAGCCACCCAGGCGCCCCTGCATTAGTTTTAAACATTTATAAATCACATATACATACTGTGTAGTACCAATACATCATATACACTAAAAAACATTAAAGCACTTAGAATAGTGTCTGGTATATAGTTTAAACTACGTAAGTGTTAGCTATTGTTGCTGTTTTATTACTGAAAATGTTTTTTCAGTTCTAATACTGTATTTTTGTACCCCACTGATTCCTCTTGCAAAACCCACTTTCAAGACCACTGAACTAAACTGCTTGACTTTCAAAGTCCTCCAATTTTTGATCTCATCTAACATAGTCAACTTTCTTTCCTACTATTCCGTATCTACAGGTAGTCATTTCACTGCCTCCTAAGTACTTTGTGATTCCATTCTCACCACCTTGTCCTTGCCCACGCCACGAAAAGGTCTAGTTTCTCTGACTTTCCAAATCAAAACAACCCTAAAAAAAAAAAAAAAAAATCAGTGGAAGCACTAAAATTCTCCACTGGTCTTCCAATCTTCCCTCACTACTTCAAATGATACTAATCTTTCCCTTTTCTGATTTCCTACAGTACTTAATAGTCTCTCCATATCTCACCATATATAATTGTTTTACACGGTTCTGTTCTATAGTTTTTTGATTATGTTACACACTAGACTTGCCTCTCTAGAGTTTATGCAAAAGCTTACTTTACCAGAGACAATAAAGCATAGAGGTTAAGAGCACAAGCTATGGCTTCAACTAAAAAGAAGTTAAAGTGAAAATATTTACGAAACTATTTAGGACTGTGGTTAGCAAATAGCCAATACACAATAAATGGTAGTTATTATCATTCATGATCTACATTATGTCACACCAACGTAATACTTTCACAAGAACCAACAAATGTTCTAGAGGGGAGGGGGGTGGGAGGATGGGTTAGCCTGGTGGTGGGTATTGAGGAGGGCACATTCTGCATGGAGCACTGGATGTTATGCACAAACAATGAATCATGGAACACTTCATCTAAAACTAATGATGTAATGTATGGGGATTAACATAAGAATAAAAAAAATTAAAAAAAAAAAAAAAGAACCAACAAATGTCTTTGCAAAGAAGTCATGGCTACAAAACCATCCACAAAATCGATGTGAACCAATCACCTTCCCAGTGGTATGTAGGAGCTCTATCCAAGATGGAAAATAGAAAAGTATCCTCCAAATACTCCTGACTTGCTCCTCAACCTAAACATCAGAACGACTTGTGGAGCTTTTTTAAAACCCAAGGTGCAAGGACCCAACCTCAAAAATTCTGATTCAATAGCTCTGCAATGAGTCCCCATTTCTATTTTTTTCTAAAGCACTAAAAATGATTCTGACATGAAACTAACTGTGAGAGCAAATGATATTTAATAATGACTTGAATACACTATGGAAATATACAACTTTTGGAGGTCGATTGAGGCAAATTTGTGAAAGGGTGGAGGGGGAAGAATGATAATGAAGTGTAACTGTATTCCCAATTTCCTTGCTTTTCTTGACTCGTTTTGTGAGTGTAAGGGTAAATTTATATTTTCAAATTGAGGAACATGACAGCAAATCCAATCAGAATAGAAGGAAAAATGAACAACGCTTAGACAAACCTTAAGATATCCTTTACTCTTCACTTTCCTTTCCACCAAGCTCCTCATTGTTCTCTCCAGCATCCCTCGCTCCCCCAGCCCCCAGTGCCTCGACCTAACACACTCTACATATGCAGGGATGCTTTTGACTTAGAAAGTGCTTTTATAAATATTACTTTATTTAATCGTTTCAGAAACTCCCTGACGTTGTGGTATTATCATCCCCACTGTAACACGAAGAATCTGAAATTGAGATAGACTAAGGGCTTGCACAAGTTAAGAAACTTTTCTCACTATCCTTTTTTTCCCCCATCCTTTTCAGATTCCTCCCCACAAACCCCCGAACGTCCCGCCGCCGGCCACACACACTAATTTTTCCTAACCTCGAACCCTTACAACCCTATGAGAACTGATTCTTTCGATCCTTTACGTGCTCCCCACTTTCTCCTTTTCCCTTCCCGTTGCTCACGTTCGCTCAGCACAGACCCCTTCCCAAGTGTACAATTTAATGTGAGCCAAGGAGGGGAAAAGGAAAGCAGAAACTACAGGCAGTCCCGGACCTAGAAAGACCAAGGTGCTCGGGGAGTCGGCGTGACCGCTGCAGGATGGCGCCACTCTCAACACTTCGGAATCCCGATCGGGGGCCGCTGTTCCCGGTGACACTTACGTGACATTGGCAGGGCCCGGACAACCCGGGGGCGAACGGCAGCCGCCATCTTCTCCCACAATACCCCACGGCCGGCGCGCCAACCCACTACGGCTACTGAGCTGGGCCAAAGTGATCTTCCACGCCTGTCTGCGCAGGCGCTAACCGGGAAGAGACGGGGTGGGTCAGAGATTGGGGTAGAGTGTGGAGAGTAGAGAGCTAGAGAAAGAGAGTGGGGCGCAAGGGAGGAAACGTGAAGGAGAGGGCAAAGAAAGGAAATAGAGAAGAATCCTGGGGTTACAATCTCAGATCTGGAGTGGACTATAATCTTATTGCCAAGGAACGTGAAGTTAAGAGTCAACCAGTGACTGACTGAAGGACTTGCAAAATGGCAGAACCCGAGCTGCAGAGAGCCCAACTTCCCTGACTCAGTTCAGTTTGTTATTCCCTGAAAATGTCAGCAGCTCTGGTGAGACTAGGGGAAAATGGAGGCGTGGCCCCAGCACTCGGGAAGTTCTCAAAGGAGAGAACCAGGGTCCAGAGGAGAGGTTGGACAAGAAAGGAGTGAGGCGGGGCGTAGCGAAATAAAGGAAGAGAAATAGAAATGAGGATGTGCACCTCGAACTCACCAAGCACATTCTCTCCTCGGAGCCATAGCTCTTGCTGTACCCTTTACCTGGCATGCTTGCTCAGATGCCTACACCAGCTCAAGTTTCTGCTCAAAGAAAACTTCTCTGACACCCAAGGTGGTCATCATTCCATCGTCTATGTTGTTTTTACTTAATATGAAAGCACTTACCACCACCTGACATATGACTCCAGGGATTCTTAACCTGGGGTGTGATTCATGAGTGGGCTCAAGGAAATCTGTGAACCTCCTGAAATGTTAAGTAAAATTTAGTGGGTATGTATGCCACTGCACATTTTTCTAGAAAGAAACTCAAGGTGATTCTAGAACAATAGTTTATAATTTTTATTTTCTTAACTGTGGACCTCTTTGAGAATCTGCACTGTTCTAGAAAGAGGTTTCTAGAGCCTGAGGAGATTGCAGAAAGATTAAACACTTGGATTTTTAAATAGTTTATTCTGGTCGCTCACTATTTCTGAGTGGGAGACAGCAACCAGCAACCTGTCCTGAGACATCTGCCTTGGGCTTATCAGAAAACAAACTAGTTTGGGGGAACTTTCTAGATTTGGTAATTCTTTCAGTGCTTTGTTTTTGTCAGGAAGAAAGCAGTGTGAGTTGCTTGGATGGACAAAAGTCCCCTAATGAGTAGAGGTTGCCTGTTATTGGGCTTGTAAGATTGGTTGTTTCCCACTCCATCCCCGCCCCCACTATTTCCTGAAGTGTCCTGTACCAAATTGAATTGGAAGAGAAAAGAAACTCCTGAAAAAAAAGAAAATTTCTTGAAGAAATTTTATCAGAGAGGTTTAATAATGCTACACAGTCATATTTCTTGGCCTCATCCGGTGTTCACCCAGCACTTAAAATTCTCTAATATTTGCTTCTGAGGTCAATATGAATATAAAATACTTAATTGGTTCTGATAAACTGTCAGACCCTGTTATCATCAGCAGCCTCCTAACACCTGTGAAACATGGCAAGTCTGCTATTTTACACTTGAAGTCAAACACTGACTCATGTTCTCAATACTAATTTCAAGATTGCATATTGTTGAAAGAGCACTGACTTAAAACTCAGAATACTAGATCCCAGTCCCAGCTCTACCAGTTAATAGTTGTAATCTGGGCAGATTTCTACACCTATCAAACAGGGAAAGTAATACCTGCCCTGTTACCTCAAAAGATTATTGTGAGGATAAGATGACATAATGGGTGTGAAGGTGCTTTGTCAACTGCAAAGTACTATATGCAGGTATGTGAAGTTCTATTTAAATACCACCGAAGTATCAAAGTTCTAGACTGTTAGAGCTGGAAGGGATCTTAAGAGATGAGTAAGCCCAATTTCTTTATTTTAAAGATGAAGAAACTGAGACAGTATAAAAGATCATCAATAGATAAATAACCTTGTTGAAGAAAGCCTGTAACAAACCAATCAGTCACTTTTGAATCTGTTAACAATTTTAACCTTTATCTTGTGGCCTTGATCAAGATTCTTTTTGTTTCATGGAAACTATGTACTAGTCCTATACTCAATCATTAATTAAGAGTACATAGGGTAATATTTCCAAAGAGGATGTACTAAGAATAAAGTCCTCCTCAAGGATAGAAATTGTCAACCAAATGCCTCTAAGTCTGATTTATCCCACTACCTTTCCTCAGATTGAGGCACTGTAGAGAATGGATTAGTGCGACTGTATCCGACCATTGAAGATAAATTATAACCCAGAAATGGTCAGTCTGGGCAAAATATCTGCAAATTTACTTGTTTGTTTATTTATTTTTACAAAAGCTAAGATGCTTATAATGCAGAGTCAAGGCTGGGTCCACAAAATGAAGTGATTCTGTGGGCTTTGCATAAAAAAAACTTAGTAGATGCTCAATTTTTATTTCTTCCTCTCTGTATCCTCTGAATTTGTTCATACATACGAAATACTCTGTTGTTTTAAGTGCAATCCATTGGCAAAATTTTCCCCTCCCACATTCCCTGCCTAAATTAGATACTTCAAGGAGAAAATTAATTAGGGGAAAGTAAGCCCAGTCCTTCCAAACTAAGCGTCAGAGACATGGAGTATATCTTAACCTATCCCCCTTGTCCTTTGACAACTCAGTTTCTGATAGCCTCACTACTGTTGCTATAGAGACAGTGATATCACCAGTTGCAATTCTGATGTCACTCTTCAGTCCCAACAAGGGGGAGGTGCATGGAAGTCTGGGGGAGGAAACAAGATCTTGAGCTGAGTAAGAACATCCCAGCATCTTCACTGACTTTTAAAGTATAGTCTGGAGTCTTCTGTGGTTCACTATTCCAGTGCTACAGAGGTAGGAAATTCCACTGGACTGATAAAACAGCCCATTTTCTGAGCCTCTGTAGTTAAAAAGGAGAATTCAGTGACAAGTGATGGTTAACTTAATGTTCAACCCAGCTTCCCTCTTTGCACAGTCAATTTTAATTTTACATCAGAGTTTTCTGGAAATAAATGAGCCTCTCCCTCAGTAGCATTACAGCTAAACCTATCATCTTTGCTGCTGAAATTTTAATTTTGTTGCAGATTTAACCAGATCTCCTCAGCCATCCTTTTGGGATCATGAGGGTGTCTTACTCCTCACTTCCCAGTTTGACTGGAAGCTTAACTAACTGCTGACTTCTTTTCATTGTGTAGCTATTCCAAAAGTTGTTGTTTTTCTCCTAGTGCTCGAGTAGCAAAATCAGACTGGTGTAGCTCTGAGTCCTGATTCTCATTTACTTTCATCCTCTTTACTCTTATTTCTGAAGTCTTGGCTAGACAACAGAGAATTGGAAAAGACAGGATATATATATAGCCATGTGGAGAAAGTGTCTGTATTTATCGTACACCAGAGGAAGAAGCTAAGGGAAAGTGAAAACGGAGGAGATCCACAGAGAAGTTTAATAGTGAATGGTATCACCAAGGGAAAAGACACACACACACTTCTAATCCTTATTTAAACAAAATCAATTGTAACTGATGTCAGCAATAACCAAATTTATTGACTGTGTACAATGTGCCAGGCACTTAGAAGAAGGGAATGAGAGAGAAAAAGAGAATGGATATAAATGAATATATTCTTCCTTTTTAAAACTAGTAATAAAACTTGGTTGAATAAACTTTAAAACCTGATCAGGTATGTATCACCCTGCAAAATCTCCATTTATGTTGCCTGTAATTTGGGCTTTTCTGTGACTTTAAGAACCTTGAATAAACAGGAGCCTCTTGCTTATGATGGATGTAGGAGAAAAATGTCTTGAGATAGAGCTACGGTCTGAAGTACAGGAACCATAACCCATAACCAAATCCCTGTGCTATGCCCTCTCTGGCTGACATTCACGATTTGCACTCCTCCTCAATTATTACTGAGGTAGTAACCACATTGGCATTTTTAAGGGGTATCCTTCTATGGGCCGCAGGATCCCTCTGTTGGCATAGAAAAATTTCATAGCTTCTGGGATGTTAACCTGCAGAGCTCTAATACTTAAAGGAATATATCCAGTGTTTTTAACATTCCCTTTCTAGGCCTCAGTTTCTTAATGTGTAAAATGAGGGTGTTAGAATAAATGGTTTCTAGGATCCATTTATCTATACATTGTATAGAGTTAGCTTTCTTTCCTCATCAAATTTAATAGGTAATACAAATCATCTTTTTTCTCTTTTATTTTCTACCCTAACTCCAGGATATTATTCACCAGCTTTGAACTTAAGATATTTATCAATCTGTTTATTGGCTCCACTAAAGTCTAGATTTTCCTTCCCTCTTTTTCATTTCATTATGGGAAATGTATACAGATTTAGAAGTCTGAATATCATTATCATCAAAAGATATTTAAGTACTTCATATAAATACAATTAGCCAGGACAATTTAGGGAGTTTAAAGTCTAAAAGAAGCTTCATGGATGCAGATAAAAATGCAGAAGACAAAGAAAATAGAATAAAAACATTAGTACATATAAGTGTTAAGTGTTTGCTGGATATATATGACTAAAAGGTTGTTGATTTATTTGTATTATTGGGATAGGAAGTTCTGTTAATAAATCATTGGATAAATATACCTTGGATATATCTCTAGGGTGAATGTATCCCCAAAAGCAATCAAGCTTCAAGAAAGCCTGAATGTGTGGCTTAATAAATCATTGGATAAATGATTAATAAATCATTGGATAAATATACCTTGGATATGTCTCTAGGGTGAATGTATCCCCAAAAGGAATCAAGCTTCAAGAAATGGCTTACCACCATAGCAAACTTGAGCAAACCATTTTTTTGTTGTTCTCAGATTCTCCTATTTAAGAAAGAAAGAAAAGATTATACTATCTGGAATTTGAAATAGGCAGTATTCCTATATTCATTCTTTCAGCAGGTGATTATTAAGCACCAACTTAAGACACTAGTTACTGTGAGGGATACCAGCATGAGTAAGAAAATGCATCTGTCCTCAGAAAGCCAGCTAATAAAAGAGATGAAATATATGTGAGCAATTAAAGTGCTAGATGGGATGTAAAGGTTGAAGCAAAATATGATGGAAACTTTGATAGAGGAGC